CAATAAATCAAACAATATAGTTACTCTACTTGATGCTTTTGGCAAAGTGTGGATAGTGTGAGAACAAATTCCTCATAACTCACTGCTGGGAATTAAAGGATCCAAAAAATGTGCTAATGAACTAACCTGTCTCCTATCATACAAGTCTTTGAGGGGTCAATAGCATGCCTGCTTGACAAAAATCAGCAAACAATCACATGATGAAAAATTCTTAGATACCTGATTTAATAATATACATTTCACAAATTAAATGTTATTTATTTACCGTGATTGAATACACTCAAACATGACTCTCTCTGGCTTTCCTATCACTTTAGCTTTCCTTCTAGCTGCTGCTTCCACAGAAACTACCATGCAGCCTGTCCCTGAAATTCAATCATTATTTAGCTGATTAATTTAAACAATAATTACAAAATAATCATTATCATTCATAGTCTTAGGGACATTTCTGTCAGTAGGAGAGTCACAAACTCTCAGCAAAGAAGACTGAGAAATCTGGAGGTGTTTTAAAGCCAAACAACATGTATCACATACTGAATTTTAAAGAAAAAGATGATAATATGATATTATCAACTAACAAAAATTAAATTGATACTGTGATCACCTGGAATAACCACACCATTCTTGTTAAATGGAAACCTGTCATCTAGATTTGTGGCAATGAACAAACAGGAATCTTTAGCAAGGTAACTGGCTGCTTTGATGAGCTTGTGAAAACTGAAGTGCTCATCAAATCCACAAACAACAGCTCCAACCTTTAACAAAACAGGAAAATCTTTAACAGTCACCAGCAACATAGGCAAGGAGTTTCACCCCTTAACCATGTCAAGAAGAGAGATCCACTGACAATAGAATAACACGTCTTGGGAAAGAATATAACCCAGTGAGATACATAATGTTGGGGATGTCAAAAAGAGAAACTAAAAACAAAAGTAGTATCAACATAATGTATACCTCAGGGTCCAACTTAAATGAAGCCCATTCTTGAAGATTATAACCACCAGTTGATTGATCAGGCTGAAAGTAAGTTGAGTTATTATTCATATAAGCCATGGAAAAAACAATGCAAATGCTTCAAAATATATTGTATATATTATGAACAGTTAATTAATATCACAAGCCACAACAAGATTTGCTCATCTTTCAAACCGGCAGTCTAACTCCCACAGGGATCAACGAACGCTTTTCATTCCACTAATTTATTCTCGTTTTTCTCGTTGCCATGTTCCCACCAATAACGTAGCTCCATTCTCACCCTTTAAAAGCACTCACAACCCACAATTCCTCTATTTGCTCCGACAAATGGCTAACGCTCGAAATGTCAGCTTTTGTAATCGTTACGGTGGCCAATTTACCAGTTCAACTTTGTTGATATATCCAAATTATTTCGTTACTCCCACCAACTCAGCCCCAAACAGTTTCTTTCGAAACTATCAGACTTTATTCATTGATATTTGGAAAGGTCTAGGACACAATGTATCAAATAAGTGAACAAATAAAGTAAAACAGAATAATAGATCAACAAAACAATGAAATTGCACTAACAATGATTTGCAGATGTATTGCAAAAGACCATTAATTAAATATACAATGAGTTCTTTTCATGAAAATTACTCATCTCCTCTACATCATTCCAAAGATGGATGTTTTAACTTGGAGAAATAAGCATATTTATATTGGGGCACCAGAAAATTTTGCAGAGACAATTGTTCACCTATGTAGGGTGTATTTCCACCTCTAATGTGTGCACAGTGATTACTTTTCCCTATAATTTATTTATTACTAGCAATGTCAGAACTATTGACAGATCCAACCTACACCAGAACCAATATGTTGAATATTCATGGCATCAAGTTCTTCCACCATCCCTGTTGTGCCAAGTGTAAAAACTTTTTTGTCGAACTTTAGAATCTCCTTTAAATAATATGCAACAGCATATGCTGTTCCATAGATTTCTTCCTGAAATAGAACAAAAAAGAAAATGCAAAAAATTTCATTCCATTATCTATTAGAACACAAGAATAAAACAAGCGGATAAAATTATACTCTGTGCTTTTTCATGCAACAGCCAAACACTAGTGAAAAAGTGCTCATAAATGCTGGTACTTGGATTATTAAAGGTGGAGTGAGGGGATAAAAGAAAAGTTACAGGTGTTCTGGAAAGGAAATGAAGATTAAACTATGGAAAATAGAAGGGAAAAGAGAGAAAAGGAAGAATGTACTTACAATGTCTGTGTTGCTGGTAATTTTTGCTTTTAGTTAATTTTATTTCTAACTAGTAGGTAAATTTTTTTAACTAGTAAATTTTTACATTTTACCTCATAAGCTTCAATTCCAAATTTCTCAAATTTCTTAAGATATGCCATTCTTGACTTGGAGCTATTATTAGTTGCAAAGAAAACCCTTTTACCCTAAAATGAAAAGAAAATTGTTAATTTAGTCAAAACACAGGTGAACAAAAGTAAATGTGATTATAACTGGCTTGATCAGTTGTTTTACCCTGGGTGGTGGGGTGGTGGGGTCTCTTAATGAAGAGGTATGCGAGGGAAACCATTTACCATTGAGCTTTATCACAAAATTTACAAGATAAAAATCTATCATGCACCCCTATTTGATCAACAATTCCACAAACAAGCTACACTATAGAACTAGGAACCCTATTGCACAGCTTACACACATCTGCTTCTTTGAATATTGCAGAACATAGCTAAATGGAATGGAAATGGCCAAAAACCCTTCCTGCATTGCTTTTTATTATGCTGACAGGTTACTAAGGGATGGAAAGAAGATGTTGGAAAAATTGTTTTGTAATGGTATAAGAGGTCAGGTTGCTCAGCAACATTTAAAATAACAGTATCAATAGTCCAATTTTAAGCATATTTGAAAACAATTTTTGAAACAGTGGGTTACTTTTTAGGCTCAAAATACTTCCAGTGCCATAACGTCATGTTTAATAAGTATATAATATCAAATGGTTATTACTCCTTACTGTTTTATCTTGATCACATTGCAGTGATCCATTGGCTGAATCAAAGAAAGAAACTAAATTATAAAAATAATAATATCAATCGCAGTAAGAAAATAATACTTGCTTAAACATTGCTTAAACATAAACAGCGTCAGCCATCCGAATAATTCTTCTTACCAATCTTCGAAGCTCTTGCAAAACTTCCATCACACCATTTAGGGGGCCGGCTTCATTCCAAAGGACCCCTGGGATACGATGAGACTGAACGTGATTTTGGTACAATGACACCTCAACACCAATTGATATGTTACTTACCATCACAATCAAAAATAAAAGTGTCCATCGAGGCAATGAAGTTGCTGGCACCGGTTCCTTCAAGAAGTTTACAACTTTTGCAAGTCATCTCTGATCTGAGATAATCTATAAGATTGCCTTCATACGTCATTACCAAGTTCCGCTCGGTTGTAGTTCGACGTTCCTCCCCAGTCATTCAAGATGGCGCGTGGGGAACGGCAAAGTTGGAGAAAAATAATATCAAGGAAACTCGAAGCGAGGGATCGAGTGGAGTGGCATTGCTTTAGAGATATCATCAGGGAACGTAAGTGAAGATTTCTTCGTTGTTGGTTGAAAATTGCACGTTTTGTGAGGATTTAATCAGTAAGCATTCATATTGTACTACTGACTTTGACGAATCAATAAATACATTACAACTTTAATCCAAATGTTTTTCCTGTATGTTTTCCTGACAAGTCAAGTTGACTTATCTAATTATTGAGGGAAATCCAAAAGAAATCTCAAGAAATTCTTTTAGTAGATGCGAAGTGATATTTCTTGTTGCCGACCCCAGATAGGAAATATTTGACCCTGTAATATGACATTTCACATCTATTTGATATACCATCATCAATGCATATTGAATCATTTATTATTTAGATTCAAGTTCATAGTAAATCATGTTCAAAACGAACCAAATGAATGGATCTTTAACTATTTCCATCCTTAATATTTCTCTTCACTTTCAAATTGTCGTGAATAAAAAACAGAATCGAAGGAAGGACAAATGTATTACTGCAAATATCGTGAAAAGTGAAAGGTTGGAAAGAGCGAAACTCTAATTGGTGAATTGTCATGGGAAATAATATGAATTTTTTGCGGAGAGCGAGTTATTGAGGATATTTTAAGTTACGTGTGGGTCGTTTTCTCGGTGGACTTCTGTTTCAGCACTAATTAATGAGGTCACAGAACGTTGAAAGTTGCTTGAAAACTTTTACACATAAGTTTTTCATTCTCTTTATTTTCATCATTCCGGGGAAAGAATGATTGTTATTTTTATGGTGTTATGGTGATACTATTTGGGTATTTCATTATATTACTGGTGGTTAGAGAACTTCTTTACAGCTGCACCCACAACTAATTTAAAAGTGTATTATTTTCCCAGCTTGTGATATTTTTTTTTATTTTAACAGACAACAAGTTATTTGAAAATGCTGACACTGCAAAATTAAGAGTGGTTCAGTTGGAAATACAAGTTGCTCAAATTCAACAGGTTACAACTCCTGCTGCATTTCTGCTTTGAAAGCTGATTGGTGGTTTCACATTACCTAATGTTTGATTTTACCCTTTGTTATTGGTTAGCCTCCTATCTTATTGAATAACAGATTAACATGACCAGAACTTCCTTTTCTTATTTTACAGGAAAAAATTGAGCTTCATAGACGTGCTCAAGAATCAAGGTAAGTCGTCACAATTGCGAAGTAGGTTCAGATGAAATCTCCATAATGATTAACCTTGCATTACTTGTTGTTTACTCTTTTAGTTCATTGGGAGGAGGGGCAGGGGGTGTTGGTGGAGGATCAGAAAAAGTAGCTTCCTTAGAGCAAAAGCTGTTCAAGTTACAAGAGGAACTGACAGAGCTTCATCGTCAGAAAGGAGAGGTTTGTCTAATAACAATGTTGCCCTAACCAGTGTCTAACACATTGAGTAAGGGACCCACTTCTCATCAGTTTAATCATTTAAAAAATATTCTATTAAGATGGAAATGTGGCATGACAATATTTAACAAATGGTAAACACCACAGCGTACACTATTGAGTTATGGATGCACGCGGGAGGTTGCTAAGCACGAAAGAAGCGTAAGAGTCGCTCGAGGCGATAGCCGAGAGCGACTCTAGCTTCTTGAGTGCTTAGCAAACCTCCCAAGTGCATCCATAACTCAATAGTGTACGCTCTGGTGTTTACCATTTGTTTTATAACATAACATTGATACATTGTAGCTAAAGAGTTCCCTTTTATTTAACAAATCTTACGCGACCAGAAAAAACAAGCGCGCGCGGAAAAATAGCCTTTGCATTTGCTCACGTCAGCAGCGTACACCCATGGGCAAATGGGGCACGCTAAATTGACCAATCAGAGCGCGCGCTTTACTTTGGTTATGTTATAAATATGTTTCCTTGAGGACCAAAGACTAAACAGGGAAGGGATTCATAAATTTGAACTTCTGACTTCATGGTTGGATGTTATGCCAACTGAGATACAGAGAATTTGCCAATAAGTCAGGTAAATTACCAGGTTTATATCTGATGATACTTTCTTTGCCAACTTCGTGTTTTGACAAGTCAACTAGAATATTCTTCATCACTAGAATGCTCAGAAACTGATGGAGCTTAACAATACGTTACGACAAAAGGAGCAAGAACTGTTGGCTAAGGAAGGAGAGTGAGTATACATGTGCACCAGCAGCATGAATTTATATACTGTGTCAAGAATGCATATTTTGTACTTTTTAATACTTATTTGATCAGAATGTGAGACTAACAATAGAGAGAAACTGGGAGTAAAAGTGCAAAGTTTCTGAGTATGTTTTAGTTGCGAGTTTCTTAAATCGTATTCATAATTCTGTATGATCCGTAACTATATATTAATTTGTTGTTTTCCCACCAGGTTACATGACTTATCAAACAATTTAGAAGAAGTTGACAGGGCAAGGCAGAGACTGGAGCAAACAGTTACAGAATTGACGGCAAATTGTCAGGTACACATTTGATAAAGTTTTGTTTGGTTTGTAATTCTATAATAATAGTATTTGTTTTGTATACCACATTATACCATGTTACAATTGAAAGCCAAGCAATGAGGTAGTTGAAAAGACCTTCAAATTTAACATTAATAAATATTTTCCCAGTTATTGCATATTAATTATCAGCCACATATACAGTAACTTACATTGAAAGCATTTTGTACATGTCATTGAGTTACCCATGACAGGTTACAGAACAAAGTATTTAAAAAATCCTGTAGTAAACTGGCTTGAAGAATTTTCTTGACCAAGTTTTGCGATCAATTCTTTTTCTCTACTGTGTTTTATCATGGTTAATGTTTTACTTTTGCAGATGGTAAAGGATGAACTCCAAGCATTACAGCTTGCTTACTCATTATTGGATGAAAGATATAGGAAAGTACAAACAGAGAATGAAGATCTAGTGAGTTCATCTCTGACAAAATTATTATGAATTTTGTTTTATTTTGACCCATGCATTTTCCAGCAGTCTTCAATTATTTTCATTTTCATAGACTAATTCATTGACAATCAGTTAACATCTAGTTAATTCTAGATAATTGTTTAATTCAACATCCAGGTAGCAAGGTGGATGGTACAAAAAGCAAAGGATGCCGACAAAGTAAATGCAGAAAATGAATTACAGTTGAGGTAAAGAGAATACTTTTTGGTCAAGGAAATACATTTTCCTCCTTTTTCCTGACATTGTAGACTCTGTGTTATTCTTACTGGGTGCAATTATAGAATCTCCTTGTTGAAATATATAAAATGTTTTTTGATGGGATATGTGGTGGGATTTGTGAAACTGGAAAATATGTTTTGCATATCACCAAATGTTTACTTTCCTTTAATTTTTAATTAGAATACGTCATGAAAAGCAGCAAAATCTACTTATAGATGCAGCGAAAGAACCAGTAGTTGTAAATATACCAACGTGAGTTACTCTGCTTAATATCTATTAAACAGTAGATAGGTGAACATTCTAATGGGCCTCTGTTAATGAACTACACAATGATAAGCAGACTGTTAGTCACATGTTAAGTGAAAGGAAATAAATGGCGTACCAGACCAGGTCAGTATTAAGGTGAACACATCAATACACATGAATGAACAAGGAGCAATTTGTTATTTATATTGCTAGAAAGTTTGAAGTTTGGTTAGGGAGTGTTTGCAGAAAAAAATTGAGACAAGGCTAAAAAAAATCTAAATCTGGAATTTTGATGTCCTTTAGATTAATTTTATGCTTATTAATTGTTATGAGAAGTAGTGAAGAGAGGATCTTAGTGGTGGTTGTTAGACAGAGAGGGAGCTTAATTAAGAGAGAATGTAGAACCTATCTCTTTTATCACTAAGTGACTTATAAGGTGTAATTATCACTTTCCTTTTCTGTCTGAATTGCAGTTCTAATCAGCCAGGCGTACCTTTCTGTGCAATAATATCTATCCCTTCATTTCCTGATAAAAAATTTGTGAGTATGACTTCAAGGTGTTGATGATTATTGATATTAATTTATTATAGAACAGTTTTTTATATATTGCCCTCCACAACACAGACTAGCTATTTCTGTTTGTTCTACAACAGGATGCACATGAAGGTGAAGTAAATTCTGCCAGATTCAGTATTTCAGGTAGATTATTTGTAACAGGTGGGGCAGACAGAAGAGTGAAGGTCTGGGAACAAGTCAATGGTAGGAACTGTGATATCTTACTTTCAAATTATTTCTCCCTTACATGTGTAAATATTAATTTTTATTGTGTTACCCACGGAGCCTCTATACTCTCTTTTTCTTTTAATTACAATTTAATGGCATATTTACAGGAAAAGAGAAAGAAAAATAATGCCATAAGGTTGATTTGTAAAAGAGTTGCATGACCCCATATAAAAACAAATCACCTCATAAAAATTACAATGAACTCACTAAAGAATTGTAGTAATATTTACAATATTGTATCCGTAATGTTCGCTTAGTAAAGTATATTCTATACAAGGCTAAAAGATTAGGAAAAAATTAAAATGTTTGAACCAAATATTTTTGGCTGTTTGCTGTCATCAGGGTTGAAAATAATGACTGTCTGCACCTACATAATATATCTTATGTAATTCCCGATGGGATAAGTTTGGAGACATCAATTGGAAATCGGAGGTCCCTACAAAATGGAAAAGGAATTGCATCACTGGTGCACTCCATAGAGCCAAACGCATCTCTACTGATCCTGACAAGGATATAAAAACTCTTGAAACATCTTTTATCAATGCAGGTTATCCCAAACGTTTTATTTCACATACAATCAACAACTTTCTAAACGACCCATCACAAGATGACAACATCATTCCGAATTTTCTCTTTGAAGAGTGAAAGAAAGTTTTCATCAAGCTTCCTTTTTGCATTGAAAATGAAAAACTCGGTAAGATGTTCGTTGCAAAACTCAGTGAGTTCACTAATTTTAATTTCATCTTTGTGGAGGGGCAGTGGCCTCATGGTTAGTGCACTTGACTCCGGATCGAATGGTCCGTGTTCAAGCCCCGGGACATTGTGTTGTGTTCTTAGGCAAGACACTTTACTCTCACAGTCCCTCTCTTCACCCAGGTGTATAAAGGGGTACCGGCAATTTATTGCTGGGGGTAACCCTGTGATGGACTGGTATTCCATCCAGGGGGTAGTAGAAATACTCTTAGTCGCTTCATGCTACAGAAACCAGAGTTAAGCACCGGCCTAATGGGCCACTAGGCTCGTAAACAGACTTTACAATTTTTATCTTTGTAATCCTGTGGCAAACAAGCCAAATCAAAAGCCTCTTTAACAACAAAGACAAAAGCACTCACAGTTCTAAAGTTGTTTACAAAGGAGATTGTCCTTGTGGCGTTGATTACAGTGGTGAGACTGTGAGAAATTTAGCAGTACGTATTGCGGAGCATTCAAATCCTGCTCACACCTCTGAACCTGCAAAACTCTGGCGGGAAAATCCATCACATTCTTTCACTTGGCGTGTTCTCTCCTCAGCACAAACATTCCACGAGCATAGGATCATCGAGGGGCTAATGATCCCACAATTCCACCCCAGTTTGAACAAACAAGTTATTTCCTATGTCTCCAAACTTTTCCCATTGGGAATTACACAAGATTCTTATGTCTCTAAACTTTTCCCATCAGGAATTACATAAGATATATATATGTATGTACAGATGGTCATTATTTTCAACCCTGATGATGGCAAATGTACAGCCAAAAATGTTTGGTTCAAACATTTTAATTTTTTCCTAATCTTTTAGCCTTGTATAGAATATAATTTCCAATTTTGTTACAAATTTAGTAACACTAGCTTTAAACTTATCAACATTGCATGTCGAATGGACCTCAAGAGGCAAACTGTTCTATTCGTCCACAATCCTATAAATTTAAAGTAACTGTTTTTATGTACATTTGTCCTAGCATATTTCTTTTTTTAACGATTTAGTATCAAAATGTCTCAGTATGTAGCAGTCCTCTTGGCTATAAAAATATAAAATTTGAGGCAAAAGTCCCCATTTGAGGGCCATAGGTGATGGTTTGGGCAGGGCTGGAAAAAAAAGCCGTATGACCCAGCAAGATGTGGGCTAAAAGCAGAAAGAAAGACTAAAAAAAAAGTGGAATGATAAAATGCTTTTGCTTTAGTCAAATTAGGCTGAAGGAGAGAATATCAAATGCTATCAGTCATGATGCACAGATCTTGCAGCACTTGGCCTGTGCATTATTACCACTGTATTAAATACACAGTATTTATATACAGTCACACCTTGATTATCCAAACCTCAATTATCCAGATTTTTTGATTATCTGAACTTTTTCTTTGGTCCCGATTTTTTCATGAATATTTATTAGTCATGATCAAGAAGCCATATTCTTTTTAAAACTACAGCACTGAAAAATGAAGTAAAGGCGATGTTCTTCTCTAAGACAAACTGACTTAATTCAACATTTTAGGCCAATATAAAAGCAATTTTTATTAATTTTGATTGTTAATGCACATTGTGTAGAGGTATTAGGGACCTTAAGAAACCATGACAGTGACACCAAGGAAGACTTTGATTAAAAAATTAATTTCTACTCTTAGTTAGAATTTCAAAAATGGCTGCAAGAGCTTACTGTCTCATACAGCACCACAACTTAACTTCAGCCAGCATGATGTATAAAAGTAGCATTGAGTTCCAAATGGAAATTGATAAAAATAATTTGCCATCATGGTTTTGGTTCGCAGACAATGCAAATTTTGGCGATTTCACGTTGTTGTTTTGCATAGGATGGCTAAGAAATGTACAAAGTTTCAAAACGCACATGCTGAGCCATTGTTCTGCCGATGAGATCTCTTGTTTTTCCACGTCCTCATTGCTGTCGCCATCGTGGTTTCTTAAGGTCCCTATTCACTAAGGACAGTGAAGGTGTAGACCATATCTTTTTCAAAACAATTTGTAAATGTTTTGTTTCAAGATTAAAAGTCACTTTCTTAATTTAGACAGATTTTGTTCCTCATTAATATTCATATTCTCAATTATGTGGGCCCTCGATTATCCGGATTGTTTTTGTCTAGTAAAAACAAGTCGGCATAATTGAGGTTCGCTCTGACGAAGGGCTAACGCTCGAAACGTCAGCTTTTGTAATCATTACGGTGGCGAATTTACCATTTCAACTTTGTTGATATATCCAAATAAGTGAGGTTCGACTGTAATCAGTAATTCTATTTAGAACGATTTGAAGTATTTTCAGTTTCTCTAATTTTTGATATTTGCAACTTTTTGTATTTCAGGAAACTATACAATAAAAGGAATCATGCATGGTTGTAATGCAGGTGTCATGTCAGTACAAACTGACCCTCAGGTAAGAGTCTATGACTTTTGGGTCAATACCAAATATACAAGGCTTGTATTTCCATTTGTGGCATTGCCATTAATCTTTTTATGAACTGTTATATTTTATAGGAAAAACTTGTTCTGGCAGGTTCTCATGAAGGAACATGTAGAGTATGGACTCTTACAGATCAGAGACTTAGAGTGAGATTTGTTAATTACCATAAGAGCTAGTTCTTGCACGTGTAGCAATTGCCATGTTTTCAAAGAAATTAACATACCTCTTCTTTAAATGGAGGCCATGATTATTATGATTGTTTTATGTGCATGTGAATAAGCCTTTTTGGCCTCAGTTTTGAGATAAAGTGATTACAAATATTTCAACAAGAAATGCTAATCACTACTTGTGCTGTTCAATATGTTAAATGTTACAATCTGTACGAGTGTAAAATTTTGTACAGTTTCTCTTTGAAGATGGGGACTTTTGAATATTTTATAGAAAAGGCCCAATACAAATAATAAATGTTATTGTTATTGTTACAAACAATCTTTGCCATGAAGGTCCAATGCTATTGCTTCCCTCAAAACACTAGAGACCTGCAAATACCCATTGATATCAAAATATACAAAATTCCTTTTTAAGGATGTTGCTGGTTCAACTGTAACTATTTTTGATATTCGTGTTTATGTAGCACACCCTCACAGGACATTCACAAAAGGTTATGGCAGCCAAATTTTTTGGTGGAGCAACTAAAGTCGTTTCAGGAGGCCATGACAGAACATTGAAAATTTGGGATCTTAGAAGTAAAGCATGTAAGTTGTTTTAAATTAAGTTTTCTTTTTTGAATGAAGTACTAAAATGTCCAAACTGTAAATGGTACTCCGATTTGTAGCTGTGAAAACATGAAATACTATTATGTAACGAATTTATAGGATACAAAAAGGTTCATTTACCCATTGTGCCATACATGCTCAAAAAGGGAAAAAAATCTTTGAATTTCAGTTACATGTCTTTATGTGGTTCCCCTGCATCTATTAATTAGTTAATTTGGTTAGGCAGGGGATGGTAAAGAACCCACTCACAAGATTACTGTAATGTGGTCTGGCCTGTTTATTGGGAATTGAGGGGAGGGGGCATATTCAAATAAGTTTCCTTTGATTGATTATAAACTACTGATATGTAGTCCAGCCAAAGTCCCCCGAAAAGTGTTGTGTTGCGCATTTGATCATATCCACATGTTAATTTGTGCAATATAAATATTAAATTATTATTATTATTATTATTATTAGTTGTTATTTTACACTAAATTGATTTCAGGCAACTGCAATACATTTGAAAAAAAAAAAAAACATACCGCCTTCTTCGACTCACCATGGGGCATCTCTGAATGAAATATGTTGAGTATTTCAATTGGGTTCAATTTTACTCTTTCTTTTTTCATTTTTTCTCAGGCATGCGGACAATTTTTGCTGGTTCAAGCTGTAATGATATAGTAATCCATGAGGGATTTGGGTAAGAGACAAACTAACAACAGTGATTGGTTACAACCCACCCCGGTTCTCCAACATTCATAGATGTTCCATGTCATTAAGTATTTGTTGTTTGTCATAAACAATTGACTAATCAGTTAAAACAATATTTCCATTGTTGATTAGGGTAGTCACACCAATTCGTATTTTAATAAGTAGCTGAAGTGAATGAAAACATTGAGTATTGTTTTTATTCCATTCAGTTCACAAGTGGCAAGTGGTCATCTAGACAAGACTGTCAGGTTTTGGGATGTCAGGTGAGCCAACTAATAATAGTGATCTACAAAACTGAAATAAAAAAATTACATGGTATGTAGACAATTAGACTAGACCAGTTAAATCAGTCCATAAAAATGCAAAATAAATAAATAAATAAAAAAACGGCCAATATCCAGCCATCTTGGCCTCAGGCTTGGTTAATAATGCATAATTATATATTAACTGATGAAAAATAAAAGTGGATTATATTAAAATAAATAAAATTAATGCAACTATTATAATATTGTTTTACATTATTTTGATAAGGATTATTGTAGAGGATAACAAAACATCTGCCTCTTCTTTTTTTATGTTGATTATAGCTTTTATAATTGCTTTCTCTCTTTAGCCAGAAAGTCTTAACAACACAAAATTCCATTAAATTGTAAATAAGTTAGATTTTAATTTTCTTTTGAAATCTAAAACATTGAGAAGATATCAGTAATATCCAAACATCAATTTAGTTTTGTTTTGAAAATCGTTGGTGATTTCCTTAGTGGAAAATATTATGTTTCACTGGGACTTTATATATATCTTATTAACCAAGCGTGAGGGCTGTACTGGGAGAATATTGGCCTGAGGTCTTGACAGTACGGACCGAGCGCAGCGAGGTCCATACAAAAAAGACCGAGGGCCAATATTCTCCCAGTACGGTCCTGAGCAAGCTTGGTTAATAAGAGATTTATTATACGACTGAAGTTCAAAGGGACACAAGTGTGGTATCATTCGGGACCATTCGGGACAGTGCCCGGTCCAATACTTAGAGAATGTTGGACCAGCAATAGAGCATTTTGATAGGTTGATTTTAGTTATTGGCACTCTGACTGCCCAAGTCGTGTAATAAATAACATTATTTACCAATTACAGAAAAGATGGGTGAAACAAATTCTAGGTGCAATAGATTTTGAAAATTAAAGTTTTAGTGGAAATTCAACCCACTACCAAGTTTAGTAATCTATGTAAAATAAATTTGCAAGCCAGTCTTTAATATTCAAAGCTTAATTAATGTCATCCTTTAACGTCCTTTGTGAACATCTCGTTCCACTGAAGAGGGACAAGAGAGCCAACATGATAGGAAATTTGGACCTTGTCCTGCTTTTCTGTGCTATTCCATTTTATATCTTTGGATTTATTGGTAACATTTTGGTCATATGAACTGTGCACAAAACACAAGTTCTGCATACAACAACAAACTACCCCTCGGTGAATTTGGCAGTTGCTGATCTTCTCGCCATCTTGCTAGCACCATTGTGATCCTCTTCAGAAGAGGGATATTTAACACTGGTGTAGGAAAAATAACTCGCAAAGTCTCAGCTATCTTGGATATCTCTTTTGTATCTTCATCCTTAACTTTTGCCTTATCAGCCATGGAATGCTATCATGCAATGCTACATCCTTTGAGCACAAGATTTCATTTGAGTGAAGATAATATTAAACAAGCCATTGCAATCATGTGAATCATGGCTCTTCTAATGTCATTGACAGCCTTTCAGCTTCTCCAGTGGAGTGAAGTTGAGTTGAAGTGCATTGGTCCATGAACTTTGTACATGACTAAATCTGGTGATGTGTATTTAATTGTATGCACAGTATTTAGCACTTATCTTCCACTAACCATAGTGATCTATTGCTATGGATCAGTGAATAAAAGACTTGTTGTCACCTTCATTTTGGCAACTGTTGGGTTTTTTGTTTGTTATTTACCACATGTAATTTTCTTCACAGTCTTTGTGCCTGTGACTGACGAAAATAAGAACTCAAAGTTGGATTCTAATCTACCATCACTATTTTGGTTTCTATTTAAATGCAGCCTAGGTTTCAACCCAGTAATATGTGCCTTTTGCAGCAGTAACTTCAAAAATGGGTGTAAGAGGATCATAATCTGTTGTAGATCTGGACAAAATAATGTGTGAGCTAGAAGAAAAGGATTGTATAAAATTAATGTTATGTAAAGGTCTGATAATTTGAGGTTAAAAGTTACACAAAATTCATACTCAATAAAAGTTGCGTAAAATTAGTGTCAACACATGCATAATATTAAAATTTTATACTTAACATTTTATACTTAAAATAAGTGTTTATACCATGTATCATCCTCTAGTAAAATTTTTAAAAACAATAGAGCAGTGGTAGTAAAAAGATCCCTTGCAATTTCCATTCTGATCAAAGGTAAATGAAGCAAATTACTTTGTCCAGATACGCAGGAATGAATAAGAGAAAAGTTGTGCACAGAAATAAGAAATAAATAACTGAACCATTCAAGCTGATCATAATGAAAATAATACCAACTGAAGAGAAATGCTACTGATTTGGGCTCATGTTTGTTTACTATTTGCTTATCTGTGATAATTCCTTGGAAATGAACAACAAGGCCCATCTTATATACAGAATCTAACATGCATAACTTACATCCAGTCAGCATGCACGCATTCCCATTGTTTGGTAGACCCCATATACATAGTATTAATTCTACTTTAATCTGTTTTTCCTCAGATCTGACAATCAATCAAGTGTTGGAGAAATCACACTTCAGGGGAAAATAACATCACTAGATTTATCCCCAGGTTGTTGAGAATTGTTGTGTTAGGACATTGCTTTTCCTACCAAATAAACTTAACAGTGTCTTACAGCATGACCAAATCTCTTTAAGCTCCTTTTTTGTGAGCCCCTAGTATTGTAGAAAAGCAACAGGACAAGCATGTCCTTGTCAAAAATGATAGTTTCGAAATACAACATTTAGAATCGGGAAATGGTGGAGTTTCAATTCATGGGGCCATCAACATAACATACACGATTTTATGAGACAGAAGCAGCAGTGCAGTTGAAGTAAGCTTCCTTTTTGGATTTTTCTTGACAGACATGAACTACATGTTGGCGAGTGCAAGGGATGACACAGTAAAATTGCTTGACTTGAGAATGAACCAGGTTATGTCAACATGTAGGTGAGTAAACATGATTCATTCACTGCATGAACTATATGAATTTACAAATCATCAATTTGGAGAAAAATTATACAAAATGACTATAAGAAAGTCACGGTGCCCTTAATCTTGAGTACAGTATTTCCAAAGCAGTCATTTTCGTTTGATTTTATGTCCAGTGCGGATGGTTTTAAAGTTGCAGTGGATTACACAAGGGCATCATTCAGGTATCTTAAAGAACATTCCAAACTTTAAGTACAGAGCACAAATCGTCTTATGACTTAAGATAATTTTTTTACATGATTGTGCAGGTCTTAAAAGTGAAACCAAATAGTCCAGTATATATACATAACCACAAGCTGCTCTTATCTGTTTTACATTTTTTCAACCAAGTTATTTTGGAAATCCTTTAAACATGTATACTGGCTACAAGATTTGATGCGACACAAATGAATTAAATGATTGCTAATTTGTACTTGTGTTTCCTAATGTGGTTTTCGTCTCCTGCATGAAGAAAAAATATCCTGACAAATACAACCATTTCATTTTAGTGAGCAGGTTTATTTCGCGTCCTAACGGCTTTTTTAAATACAAATCACACTCACTATGAATAATAATTTTTGGGCAATCTACAGCTAATTAGGTGTGAACAAAAGAATGGTGCATACTGGGAATAATGATCTAAACAATTGTGGGCTAATTAAATATGCAATGGCATATTGCAACAACTTGTATTCAGTGACATTATTTTGAATTCCTTAGTCCTGATGGCCAGTATGTCATATGTGGTTCAAATGATGGTAGTATTTTTGTATGGAATGCATCCTCAGCAAAACTTGAAAAGGTTCTTAAAGAACACAGGTTAGTATTTCATGGATGTATACTTATTTATATGTAATAGGTTTGTTTTAAAAATACTTTCAATTGGTTAATTGCACTGGCTATCTGACAGACTCACTGTCTTACTGATTCAATGACTCACTGGTTGACTGACTTACTAACCCAACCACGCATCCACTGAGTCACTAACTTACACACTAAATGACTGACTGACAAACTGATTCCAGTCCTTTTGTTTTGTTGTGTAATGTAGATCACCAAATATGTAGTTTGAAAAGGTCACTGCAGTTAATTTTGTATATTTCATTGAATGATTCAAACTTACCACTCTGAATTTATTTTCTAACTGCAGTTCTTCAGTGGTTGTGTGTGCGTGGCATCCTGATGGATCAAGTCTTATCAGCTGTGATCGTAACAAGCGTGCAATTATCTGGACAAACCGATACTGAAGTCACTTTCAAACTGGATGGCATTGCTATCACTTCAGTATTGATTTTCAATGCACACCATTTGTATTAAGTACTAACAGTGCTGTAAATAACTGGACTAAATGGAAAATTTATGTACAGCAAGATACAGAGGCTTCAAAAACTTATTTCATCCTGTTTTGAAAAAGAACTCCCTGAAAAAATTGTTTGGTATCTGAAAGAAACTTATTACAAGATGGCATTTTTAGATAATGTTGTAAAATAAGTTTTCTTGCTCTAACCATAGAAGGTACACGTGTCTTTGAAGAGTCAAAATTAATTGACAAGAGTGAAGGCTTTCTTTAACTGCAGTTTCCCTTTAAAAAATCTTTAAGAATAAATGTTCAATTGTAATTCTAATCCTGTTGTTTATTATGTAGTTTTAAAATAAAAGTCTTGGTAAGAGCTTAGTTTTTTGGGGCATAAAGAATTTGAAGTCAATTATGACACATTTTTAAACCACACATGTGTGTAGAGAGGCAAGTTTCTTCCAAAAGCAACTACTTAAACCTAATATGACTGACAGGTGTTTTTCAAGGAAATATCCTAAACCCCCTCTCTGTGGGGATGCTTAAATGGGGTGACCATTTTATTAGAAGTGCTATAAAGGAGGGCACAATGAACAAAATATCAAGGAGTCTAAGATAACTGATAGGGTAGTAGCTTTAAATTTGAGCAAAATAGTAATTTGATTTGTACAAGTTCCAGCTGACTCAGGTTGGGAGGGGAGGGGGGGGAAAGTCAGGTTAAAAAATTTTACTTTATTTTTAATACAATAATTTAAAATACAATGAGCTGTTTGAGAAACCATTTACTTAGAAAGGAATGTTAGATTTCGCAGAATGCAATTATAAATGCTTATTTAAAAAAAAAAAAAAACACCATAAGGCATATTACAATGTAAGTAGTAAAAAATAAGAATGGTCATAAAACAATGGAACCCCCCCTCCCCCCCAAAGCCAATTTCACCATATTTAGCTATTCAAACTGTGCTGCATTGCTTTTAAAACTATTTACCCACATTTCTCTGCTGATAGGACTTGTAAATATAATTTAGCTTTCTTTTGTAAAAGAGGTGATAATAAACTGTTTTGTGGACTGGTAAATGGAAATTTCATTAATTTTTAACTCAATTTTTTTTGACTTGATGTTTACCAATATCCTCATAGGATCCATTATGTATTATTCTTATTTAGTTTTTGGTAAATGACAAGAAGATTTTTTATGAACAACTAAACATACAAAATCAAAGCCAACTTCAATTTAAAGGGTTTTATTGAAAACAAACCAAGGAAGTTACTAAGAACGTTATTGAAGGCATCTCAGGTTTGTTTTTGCATTGTAAAACAATGCTTAAGGGTAGCATTTACAAGTAGCAAAGTCTTTTGGTTTACAGCACAAATCACCCTTAAGCATGAAGAGAACTGGAAAACAAACACAAAGTAACACTGCATGCTTTTCTTTTGATTACAAATATCCCATCCAGAGAAATTATTGGCAATTTACCTATGTCATTTATTCAGGGTGATTCTTAATCATTTACAGTGACTGCCTCATTAGCAATTTTCATTTGATAAACATTTCTGGTCTTAATTTGAATGACAAAATGATCACATTCCATCGCAGACCTCCCTCTGTGGTGCAATTCTCTTCTTAAGAGAAAATTTATAGCGCTGTATGACAAGGTGAAGGAACGGACCATGTCAACAGGGTTGTTACCTTCCGATTGTTAACAATAATTTCTAGCCCTGTATGACAAGGTGAAGGAAGGAACCATGTCAACAGGGTTAATGTTACCTTCTGATTGTTAACAATAAGGGCACTGTACATTATCTTAGAAATAAATTAACTATGCTAATAAAATAACAACCAATAAATTTTACATTCTCTATATGTGTTGGTCAAAATGATCAGCTATTTGCATTTGGGTTGGAATTCAATGAGGCAGGTTCATCTCCTTTGTTATTGTGATCATGAGGATGGCCATAGCTTTTCTTTTTGTGGCCTGTGCAGTATGAGTTGTGGCCACATCCATCATCATCATCACTATCACTTTCAGATGAAGAGTCTCCAAACACCTTAGGCTTCGAATAAATACAACAACCTAAACAAGGGTGAAACAGAACAAATCTAAGTCCCAGTCAATGATTCAAACCTTTGAACCTTTGATTTCACAAACGAAGCTGCCCAGTTAACTTGCTTGCGAGACAAGGCATATCTAAGTCAATGTATGTCAGACATCTTGTCATTTGTATTACTAGGGTCAACGCTGTGAAAGGAGTTCATAAGAAATATTATATCTATGGGAGAGTAAGTCGTTAAGCTAAGTTGAAGAACACTGAGGAGGAGGAAAGAGCTACTGGTACTTACTGAGACCCATGTTCACTTAAGTCAATTAATAATACAATAACCTTGTTTATTTCTTACATTTTGATGTTTTCTTTCCCATAAACTCATTATCTACTGCACTTGCATCCCATTGCACCTTTTTCTCTGATTTGGGTTTCTTTAGTTTCAGTACGAGTCGCTGTTGCTGTGAGCAAAATCAAGCATGGCATTAACATTTTACCTTTAAACTTAACTATTATAACTTTCCTTTATATAAAAATAACTGAGCACAAAAATGCCAGTGTCATAGGATTAAACAAAGTGAAAATAAAAATGTGTTTTGGCACAAAATTTTGACCAGGAAGCTGTCAGTAACAGCTTAAGGAAGACTACAGGGGCAGATGGTGAGAAATAGGTCTTATTTACACCACGCAGAGTGATATTTAAAAGCGTAAGGTTTATAGTAGATAGATTGACAGCTATACGTATGATGCACGATCCTCGCAGTAGATAACGCTATTTATGCAATAGCAAAAATCAGACCTGCAAAAAATCAGGCCTGTACGGGACTCGAACCACTGACCTCTGCGATACTTGTGCAGCGCTCTACCAATTGAGCTAACAAGCCAACTGGGAGCAGGCCGTTAAGTTGATTCGTAATAAACCCGTAAAAGTGTTAAATGAGATACAATGAATATATGAAGTTCATATATTTTGAACTGTGGTATTAGATACGTATGATGCACGATCCTCGCAGTAGATAGTGCTATTTATGCAATAGCGAAAATCAGACCTGAAAAAAATCAGGCCTGTAC